CAGGGGCTGCCTGGTTAATGAAAACAAACATCACAGTTTGAGCTGATTCCTTCACTTCTGGGTCATATGGAGTGAACCGCTGGAAGGCATCTTGTAACCTCTCTAAGTATGAGGCTGGGCTCTCTTCGGGCCCCTGTCTGACATCATAGACCTTAGACATATTGGCGGGTTTTCAAGCCGCCATTTTGAGACCCGCTAACAGAGTCTGGCGGTAGACCAGGAGCCTCTCCTTACCTTCTGCCATGTTGTAGTCCCAGTTGGGACGGCTGGGGGAAAGCTGGAATTAATGATGCCTGGGTCTGTGGTAGGGTCTCCAGTGGGGCCTGGAACCAATTTCCGGGCTACCTCCAGGATCCTGTTTCACTCCTCAGTAGTGAACAGGACACTCAGGAGCTGGTGGCAATCATCCCAGGTGGGCTGGTGAGTGAAGAGAACAGTTTCCAATAAGTTAATCAAGTTCCTGGGGTTTTCAGAGAAAGGCACATTCTGTGAGCACCAATTGTAAAGATCACTGGTGGCAAAGGGCCAGTAATGAAAGGGCTGATTGCCCTCTCTGTCTGGGGGAACTGCTGGCCGGAGGGGGAGGACAATGGTGTCAGGCTGGGGGGCTGCCCCCTTCCGGCTCCATGTGGCCTGCGCATGTCCCTGTGGAGGCGATGGTGGCTCCTCAGGGTTAGGAGGCGGGGCCTGTCCTTGTGGCCCTGTTGGTGGGGTACCCATCTGAGAGGAGTAGGGCGGGGGGAAAGATGTCGTTCCCTTCTGTGCCTCCCTGGAGAATGGGTTTCTCTTCCGCCTTTGGTCTGAGAGGGAGGACCTGCAGAGGTGGAGGGGGAGCAGTTGGATTAATTGGAGGAAGGAAGGACTTGACCCAGGCGGGGGGGGGGGGGCATTGGGTCGTTTGATGAGGCCTCGCCAGGTCATGATGTATGGGATCTGGTCCTGGTGGCCCATCTGTGGACAGAAGATGTGGTCCTCTACCCTGGAAATCAAACTCAGGTTAAAAGCCCCTTCAGGGGGCCATCCAACATTGAAGGAGGGCCAATCAACTGAACATAAAGTTGTCCATTTCTTTTTCTTTACATCTACACTATTATTATGGGCAATCATCTTAACGTCCCCCCCCCCAGTGGACTAGTGTAAGATCTAGAGGGGAAGATGGGGTGTTGCCCATAGTATTTATCAGTCCCGCCCATTTCGTCAACAAAGGAATTAGAACGAAGATCACAAGACACAAGAACAACACAGACAGACAGAGGGCCCAAAATAAACTACCGTGGCTTTCAGATGGTCTGGACTCTCGGCCGTGTGAGTTCCCCGGCTTGATTATGCCAAAGACCGTACGGATAGGACGCGTGTGTCCCAACAAGGTCACGAGGTCCTCTGAGGTTTCAGATGGACTAGTGTCCTGGTGGGGTGTCCGATGAGGAACACCCACCCCGACGAGGATGGGGACGTCTCCCGAATCCTCCAGGTTGCCTCGCTAGCGTTTCAACGACAAAGAAAAACAGATCAGATGGCTGCGACCAAAGTGAAAGCATAGAGAAGACAGGCACACGCACACAGTTTTACAAAAACTTACCCGGCCGGTTGATCACAAACCTTTTGGGGTCGGTTCCTCTCAGGGGGTCTCTGGGGGGAATCTCAGATGAGCCCCCAAATGTTGTACCTCATCCACTAGACCCCAAAAAGACCACTGAGGCCCAACACACCAAAATGCAAAAGCAAAGGTTTATGGTTTATTCGGGCTTAAGCTCGGGCTCTCAGACCTCACCAACTCAATGGATCCATGCTGAGAGCCCAGAGTAAGGGAGAGTGGAGCCTTTTATAGGTTTAGACAAAGAGAGGAGGGGGATACCGAAGATACATTTTGGTTGGTTCAAGGAGCCCGCACGCGCCAACATAATTTTAAACTGATTGGATGTATAAGATGCAGCCCTGGAAGTTTCTTATTGATAGGTGCTATTCTCAGGGCTGTGGAATGTGCTGACTGTTACCTGTGGGGCCAGGAGTCTCTGTTTTTACCTTATAGGGCAGTTTTCATGCCCGGGCTTGCTTAATCTATAGTTTCCTGGAAGGGGGGGGGATAGCAGGCGGGGGTCAGGGCATGCCAGGGCATCTCTAAAGCAGCAGCCAAGCATTTTACAGAAGCTAAAAGAACAATTAGCGGGGGTCTGGAGGGACTGGGGGGTAGCGGGTGAATGAAGATGGTCTCAGGGTCCTACAGTAACTTGCGATATGGTCCATGAACTAGCAGTAGCAACAGCATCCTCTGAGAGCTTCTGAAATGGAAGGACAGAGACTTCTGGGCTTGACCAGGGCTGACTTAACCAGCCCTCCAGGAGACCCACTGCTGGTCACAGTCCAGAGCACTGCATGAAAAAGCCTCCCCTCCGGCAAGTTGGGTAGAAAGGGGGAGCTCCCCCAGGGAGGTGGGATGGAACTTCTTTGCAACACAGACTCATTTAGCCTTGCACAACTCTTTGTTGTGATTTTGTTCCCAGAGAGACAGCCGGCTTAGTTGTGGCATCCCAGTGTTCAGTCCCGCACTGGGCCTTTGGGTGCTCAACAAGTTCTTGCTGAATGAATCAAATAACAGATGTCTGAATGTAGAAGCTACCTCCAGAGATGCAGCCCAAATCTCTCTGTCTTCTAACTTCTAGGATCGAAACATCAATTAACAGCTGACATTGCCCGCCCACCTCTTTCCACTCAAACATCTGGGCTCCATAGAGGACTTGGGTCTTGGGATCCGCCATGATTTCACCATTTTTAGTATTGGCCATCGGCACCTGCCTCACCAATTCCTTCGTGCCAGGTAGGACTGTGGGGCTCCGGAGGAAGGATGGGTGCAATTGGGGACCCGTGAGGGTCTGGTATGGGTTCAAGGTCATGAATCATCCAAGGTGTTTAAGACCTGGAAACTTAAGTGCTCAGAACAGAAAACCCTCTGCTCTGCTGTGCATGAGCCAGTGTCTGGTTGGTCACTCGCCTTCTCTGTAGGCTGACCTGTTCATTACTAGTCTCTTCTGCTCTACTCTGAAATGAACAATTCATCATAGACTCTTCCAAGTCTTGATGCGCTGAGTCTCCTGTAGACTTTGCCCCATTACTCTCTTTTGTGGGAGTTGCCTATGAACTCATCATCTGTGGTATTTTTTTTTAAAAAACTTAGTTAATTTTAATTAATTTATTTTTATTTTATTTTATGTGATATGAGTGTTTTGCCTGCATCCTTGGGAACTCAAGGTCACCAGGACGAGGTCTCTGCTTCTCAGTACTTCTGTGTGTTAAAGATGTGCTGGGTTAGATAAAAAAGCAACATGAAAAACTCTTCAACTGTTCAACAATTCAATTTTTGTTTCTGTTTCTAGCCATCCTTTTAAAATTACATTTTATTTATTATTTATTTTGTGTGTGTGTGTGTGTGTGTGTGTGTGTGTGTGTTGTGCACGCATGCATGTAAGGTCAGAGGACAACCTGCAGGAGTCAGTTCTCCCCTTCACCATATGAGTCCCAGGGATCGAACTCAGGTCATCAGGCTTGGTGGCAAGCACATTTACTGCTGAGACTCTCGCTGGCCCATTTCTAGTCATTCTTAAGGAAAATATAGAGGTGTTACCCTGTCTGCTTTTTAGGATTAATTACAACTTTTAGTCAAGGGCACAAATCTTAGCTGTCCAGTTTATGGGTTTTTACATGTGTTTATACTTGTAAAGCTGCCTCCCAGACCAAGAGGACAGTTCCAGGCATGGGGCAGCAGCTGGCTTCTCAGTGCTCCTCCCCACAAGCCCTTCCCAGCATCAAAGGAGATGATGGGCCTGCAGCCTCGCACGTTCTAGACCTTATATGAATGGGTTAGTGCAGTAGTACTGATCAGTGCCTTTGGGACATGGTGTCACATCCTGGGCATTGGTAACTGTCATTTGTCCCCTGCAACAATAGCTTCCTGGTGTCCAAACAGCCAAGGTATTCTTTCTTTTAATATTTTTCATTTATTATTTTGTGTGTTTAAGTGTATTGCCTGCATGTATGTTGTGCAATGCCTCAGAGGTCAGAAGAGGGCATCAGAGTCCCCTGGAACCGGAGTTAAGGACAGTTGTTAGCTGCCATGTGGGTGCTGGGAATCAAACCTGGGTCATCTGCAGGAGCAGTCAGTGCTCTTAACCGCTGAGCCATCTTTCCAGTCCCCAAATTGTCTTTTTTTTTTTTTTTGGTCTTTTGAGACAGGGTCTCCCTGTAACCCCAGCTGTCCTGGAACTCACTATGTAGACCAGGCTGGCCTTGAACTCATAGAGATCTGCTTGTCTCTGCCTCCCGAGTGCTGGGATTAAAGGCGTGCGCCACCAAGCCCGGCCAGGAGGTCAGTTTGACCCTGACTCGGCCCTTCTTGTAAATAAACCCTGGGGTCACTTTGGTAACAAAGACAAGGCTCTGTCCTCATTGGACTGTCAGTCTAGCAGGGACCAGTCAGAGCCAGTGGCAGAGCTGGTGTTGAGAGAGAACATGAGCATGGGCAGACTGGTATCTTCCAGGCCCAATGTTTGCCAGACTGCTGAGGGCTGTGGTCAGGTGCTCACGATGGGCTGAGATTCTTCAGCCCCCAACTGGCACCCACATGACTGAAGAGGCTCTGTGACCAAGAGCCTCTTGTGGTGTGTGCAGAAGGTGGGAAGGAGATGAATTGGCCAGGGCTGTAGAACCTCATTGACCTGGGGAGATAGTGGATCAGTGGGTGAGGGTCTGAGTTTGAACCTTAGCACCCAGGTGAAAAGCCAGGGGTGATGTCACATGCTAGTAATCCTGGGGCTGGGGAAGCAGGGACAGGAGGATCCCTGGGGCTTGCTGGTCAGTCAGCTAAGCCTAGTCAGTGAGCCCTACTGAGAGACCCTGACTCAGCAGAGTGAGCGGGTCCTAAGGAACAATACCCAAGGTCTCCATGCACATGCACACACACGTGAGTGCATACCCACACTAACAGGTGCATACACACATGCACACACACCATTGACTAGGTCTTCAGGTCAGGTTCCATCTGTTTCAATTCATTTAACCAAGGACGAGGCTTGCTTTCCAGCCCTGTTCTTAGACCTCCCACCATGAAGCCCAGGTCCTGCTGAACCTACTATAATAAATAAACCAGGCAGAGTTTATAACTGATGACTGGATACCTTTGGGGACTTCTGCAGTTTCAAGTAGTTTGTTCTGTGAAGAGGTTAAACATTACCCTGCTAACTACTGGCAATGGCTGCTTACTGGGTGAAAGTGTGGGCTCTGCAAGGAAGTCCAGCTCTGCCAAAGTCTGCTTATGCTGTGTCGTTGGGAGAGTCACTTGGTGTCTCTGAGGTGTGTGGAAAAGATGCCAGGGTCCTCAGGCTCGTTAGGAGGATTTGCCTTGCACATGCTCACAAGCCTTCACTCCCTTCAGACATCTCAGCCCCCCTCCCCTAAAACGATGAGCTGCTGGGGGTATCTGGAAGTCTGGGGTTGGACAGTCCACCCCTGCCTTGCCAAGTAACTGACTCTCTGTATAGAGAAGGAGAAAGACCCCAATTACTGGAGAGAGCAAGCACAGGAGACCCTGAAAAATGCCTTGGGGCTTCAGAAGCTCAATACCAACGTGGCCAAGAATGTCATCATGTTCCTGGGAGACGGTGAGAGCTGGTGATGGTGAGGCTGGGGACGGTGAGGCTGGGGATGGTGAGGCTGGGGGCAGGGAGGCTGGGAATGGTGAGGCTAGGGGCAGGGAGGCTGGGGATGGTAAGGTTGGGGACAGTGAGGCTGGGGATGGTGAGGCTGGGAATGGTGAGGCTGGGGTCAGGGAGGCTGGGAATGGTGAGGCTGGGGGCAGGGAGGCTGGGGATGGTAAGGTTGGGGACAAGTGAGGCTGGGGATGGTGAGGCTTAGGGCAGGGAGGCTGGGGGTGGTGGGTGCCTGGTAGCTCATGAAACGACCATGAAGAGGAGGGCTCTGAGGGAGAAATTTAGGAGGAAAGGGCCAGGCCATGGTCTCCTGAGAGAGGGAAAGGACAGAGGGCCTGCCTGTCTCATGACATTTACAGAGCTGCACTCTACTGCTCATGCCTGGCTTGGCACCAAACTAGAGAGCTCTAGGTTCCCAAGAAAGCCAACTGGAGGGTCCAAGAGTCTGAGCTCCCAATCCTCACACAGGGATGGGCGTTTCCACTGTGACAGCCGCTCGCATCCTTAAGGGTCAGCTGCACCACAACTCTGGGGAGGAGTCTCAACTGGAGATGGACAAGTTTCCCTTTGTGGCCCTCTCCAAGGTAAGCCCAGCCCCAGGTCCACCTCTCCACTGGGCACACTCTGCCAGGCCACCAGACCTTCTGGGTCCCAGTGGTCCCACTGTAAAACCAGGAGAACAGCAGCCCTACCCAAGGCTTTGGGGCTTTTAGCTCATTGCTCTAAAACCTCTTTTACTGATACGTAACATACTCGGGAAAAAGTGCACAAGCATCCAGGTGAGGCAACTGAATGTGGCAGCCCACTTATCCCCATTCCCCTCCTGTCCCTGTCCTGACCCCTCACATCACTGATTAGCTGACTTAACTTGCCCTGTGTTTTCTACCAACAGAATCAGCCTAGTTCACTGCTCCCAGATGGGCCATGGGGTTGACTAGGTTGCCAGTGTGAATCGCCCAGAGCCCTGAGTGCTATAGGCAGTTGTGTTGTGTAAAGAGGGAGGGAGGGCAATGTCAGGTCCTGGCTTCTTCTAGGGTCAGAGTGCAGATTGCAGTATTCCTGAGCTTCTGGGGCGCCCTCGGGCTTACCAAGGAGGGTCAGCCAAGCAGACTTACAGGGTCTCTGCAGGACAGTTGGTCCACCCTCCCACCCCTCTCCGGGTCACCCCTTCCTCTCCATCCCCAGAACCCATTCCTTGCTGGTTTCCACAGCCTCGACGCTGAAGGGCAGCCTTACTGCCACCCACCTCTACCAGGGCCTGGAAAGCAGACAGCTCAGTTACGAGACCTGGTCGTTCTGGGAGAACTCTGGGCAGCCATCTCCCCCACGATTAGTCCTTTTGGTGGGAGTAGAAGTGGTGTGGTAGCAGTGAGCCAGAGCTGCCCATCCTCTGACTCTCCCACCTGCAGACGTACAACACCAATGCCCAAGTCCCAGACAGTGCGGGCACGGCCACAGCCTACTTATGTGGTGTAAAGGCCAACGAGGGAACTGTGGGGGTGAGCGCAGCAACGGAGCGCACGCGGTGCAACACCACTCAGGGGAACGAGGTTACCTCCATCCTGCGCTGGGCCAAGGATGCAGGTGAGCCATCGGGGACCAGGGCTCCATGACTGCCTGGGCCTCAGTCTTTCACTGGTGACTAGGGAGAAGGCAGGAGTAGGCTCTCCAGAGCTTCTCGAGCCTTCTATACAGAGAAGCCAGTGACAGGGAGACTGCAGGTCAGGGCTGTGTGGGGTGTGAGAGTCTGTGGACTTCACAGAGCAGGCATGATAACAGAGCCTGAAGTTCTGGAGTGAAGGTCACCAAGCTAGCACCAGCCTGTGGGGGTTCGGAGTGGCTTCTCCTTAGGGCTCTGAAACCAAGGTAACAGAACCCTCCTCTACTATCTGAGGTCTCTTTGGGGCTATGTAGGGCTTCCTGTAGATGTGAGCGCCACAGGTCCTAGGGAGAGGCGAGAGCTCCATTTTTCAGTGTAGAGAAGGATGTTCCAGTTGCATCTGCCTTTGTGCAAATGGGGAAACAGGCCCAGTGAGCCAGAGGAACTGACAGGAGGCAGTCTGCAGCAAGGAGAGGGAGGAAGGTTTCAGGGACTCCCCATCAGTAGGGGGTGCCAACCTCTCCCATCCACATCTCAGGGAAGTCTGTGGGCATTGTGACCACCACACGGGTGAACCACGCCACCCCCAGTGCAGCCTATGCACACTCAGCTGACCGAGACTGGTACTCAGACAACGAGATGCCCCCTGAGGCACTGAGCCAGGGCTGCAAGGACATCGCCTATCAGCTCATGCACAATATCAAGAACATCGACGTGAGTGAGGGCACCAAGCAGTGACATGATGCAGGGGTGGGGAGTGGTAGGGGGGTGCAGAAGGCCTCGGGTCCAGGGTGGCTTGGGAAAAGTTGCTGCATTGGGTTCCCCACACACCTGGGAGGGTTCCCAACCCATTAGGGGATTTGTGGTTGGAGCAGACAGGCACTATAGGGTTACTCTGTGGTGGGGCTATGGGGTGAACCATCCTGTGGCTGCCACACCCCAAGAACCAGGCATCCAAAGATTATTCCATAAATTAGAACCTGGCCCTGCACTGACACCCACCACCCCACCCTGTACTGTGGTCTTAGGGGAAGGGGGTGACATGCCCTACATATTCACACATGCACAGACAGGCAACATGTTTGCACACACAGCTAATATGCCCAGAGAACAGCCAGAGCGAGCACAGCATTGTAAGCGCAGGTTCTCATATTTAAACTTCTTCAGAATCCCACCCTTGCTCTACCTTTGCTAGCCATGTGACCTTGAGCCAGCTACTCAACCATTCTGAGCTTCTCCTTACACAATCCTTCCACCAACTGGGCCTGCCCCATCAGCTCACCACAAGAACGAAGTAAGATAATCCGGTTGATTTTGGCACAGAGCCTGACCCCTGTGAGTGTAGGAAGCAGTAGCACCCATCCCAGCACACACACTCAGCCCCGGGAGCAGGTTCATGCATGCAGGCCACAGCTCTTAGAGGAGAACTTGGCCTGTTCTTTTTCAGGCTTCTCTTACCTACAATGGGGGGTTGTCAGTGACCTGTACCCCCTGAATAATGAGCTCAGTGAGGCTCAGAGATAGCCCTCAGGTCCAGCTCCCCATCTCTCCCTGCCCTCTTTAATGTCTGGCTCCCCCAGCTCTCTTTTCCAAGTGATGGGTGGACCAGTCCCTCCAGAAATCATGGTCCTGTTGACCTCTCTTAGGAATAGGCCATCTGGGACAAAGCTGTGTCCACCCACTGGGCTGCCCTTCCCCTCTCTTAAGCCTCAGTTTCTCACCTGTGTGCCCCACCTGTCAGCTCCCAGGCCACAGGAGGCTGGGATGAGGTCACGATGTGGCAATACTCATCCTGCTCACAGGGATAATTACAGCGGCTCTTTAGAGAGCTTGGGCAGGAGCAGCACTTTGGGTAAAGACGTTTTAGGAAGAGTGTAAGAAGCAGGGGTCCCTCAGAGACCCACTGGAGCATGAGCCAGAGAGTGAGATCCCCTCACATTTATTTTCCTCTTCCTTTCCTCCCCCAGACCCATTTGCCCCTCCATCACCACCAACCCCCAAAGCCCCCCAGGCTGTCCATGAAACAAAAATCCTGGTGCCCATCCTGAAAATAAATATCTTTTGCCGAAAAAGAAAGAGAGAGAAAGGGAGAGAGAGAGAGAGAGAGAGAGAGAGAGAGAGAGAGAGAGAAACCCAAACCCCAAAGGCAAACAGCAAGTCTGTTATTTGGGAGTTTAATGAGCCGGTGTGAAAGTCTCCACTGGGCTGGGAACCATGAGCTCCCGGCAAGAAGATTGGGGGCTTTGGTTCCACTCTGAAAATGCCAAAGGGTCAGATTCTGTGGGAACGGGGGAGGTGCCATGACCTGGGGTCTCTTTCTCCTCCTCAGAGCCTACTTAAGCTCCTTGGGAATGCATCTATCCATCTTCACTGTTTATATCTGCAAAGACACCTTCCGTTGTGGGGTTCCCTCCTGGCAATACCAGCTGACTGCTTTTCTCCTCTGGACAGTGCTTCCCATTTTATAGATTAAGAAATGGAGGCTCACTGGGCATGGTGGCGCATGCCTTTAATCCCAGAACTCGGGAGCAGAGGCAGGCGGATCCCTGTAAGTTCAAGGCCAGCCTGGTCTACATAGTGAGTTCCAGGACAGGATGGGACTACAGGGAGACCCTGTCTCAAAAAGACCAGAAAAAAAAAAAAATGGAGGCTTTGTAAGGTCAAAGTGACAGGCCCATGGTCAGCAAGCAGTAGATTCAGGATTCAAACCCAAGTCTTGACTTCAGTGCCCACGGCCTTCCTGGGTTCCCATGGCTGTCCCTGGGGCATTGTCCCCCACATCTACTGGTAGCCCAGAACTCAGGGGCATAAGCAGAGAAGGGGTGCCCAGTCCAAGGACAGTGGATCTCAGGTGTTGGCCAGGGGCAGTGGCCTGAACTGGCACCCCCGGTGACAAGAGGACATGGTGTGGTGCTGACCGCAGGCGGCAGCTGTTATGTTCTTGGCCCCCATTTTAAAAATAGTTAGGACTTCAAACACGGATTCCCTAGGAAAACAAACAGCCCGCGTCCGTCTGCCCATACTTGCCAGCCACAATGGGTAAAATTAGCCTGGCGGTGACTCCACAGACGTGAGGCCAGCCCGTGTTTGCCCAGGCAGTGGCTGGTTCCCAGCTGGGCTGCCCCAAGACCTCCCTGGCCGAGGCCTCTCACTGTGGAAGAGGCTCCCAGAGGCTCCAGCCTTGACTCTGAATGCAACAGGGCCCTGGAGGACTTCTGGTAGTGAAACTGGATTCTGAGTTCGAAGCTCATCTGTGCCACTCACTGGCTATGCAGTTTAAGGGAAAGAAATTGCATCTCTTTCCCCCATCTTCATTAAGAGAATGCTGACCTTACCTGTTCAGGGCCTAGCACATGGCAAGGGCTCTGTAAGTGGGCTCTCCTACAGGTGGGCATTCGGTATCAGCCTTCTAAAAAGCAAAGTGAGTGAGCTGGGTGTGGTGGTACAGGCTTTTAATCCCGGCACTTGGGAGGCAGAGGCAGGTGGATCTCTGTGAGTTCAAGGCCAGCCTGGTCTCCATAGTCAGTCCAGGCCAGCTAGGGCTACAGGGAGACCTTGTCTCAAAAAGACCAAAAAAAGAAAGAAAAAAAGAAAGCAAAGTGAGTAAGCATTCAGAAGATCTAATCTCCCACCCGGAAGCCCCATACTGTAGTTTGGCTAGGCCAGCCATTTTCTCTCTCCAATCTGGACAAGTAGAGGCTCAGAGAACATTAGCCCAGCATCCACACCCTACCCAGACTCCCGACATCTGCTGTCCAGGCTGGGACCCCTGGGGCTTATGGACATTTTAGAACCCAGAGTGTTGAAGGCTCCCGTGTGTCTCTCAGGTGATCATGGGGGGCGGCCGGAAGTACATGTTTCCAAAGAACAGAACCGACGTGGAATACGAGCTGGACGAGAAGGCCAGGGGCACAAGGCTGGACGGCCTGGACCTCATCAACATCTGGAAGAGCTTCAAACCCAGGCACAAGGTAGCCAGAGCTGCCAGCGGCTGCAGAAGTGGCCCGAGTCAGATAGAATAAGCCATGGGGCCCTGGGCTGAAGGACCCCATCTGTAGTAAGGATCCTATTTCTCCCTCTGTGAGCTCTATCCCCAAAGAATCGTAATTGACACCCATGTCCCCTGCAGAAGAGAGTACCAGAGGGAACAGTGATGAGATGAGGGTCGGGGGGACATGTGCACTGACCTCGGGCAGCCTAGGTACCTACAGAGGCACGAAGGATGAATCAGATGGTCAAAGATACAGGGAATGCCTTAAGCCTAGGTGGTGGGAAGTTGGGACCTGCAAGCACGCAGAGGGAACAAGCTAGAAGCCCTGAGCAAGTGGGCTGAGGGGGTGGAGAGGCAGCACCGGGCAGATGCCAAGAGGGCACAGTGTGCCAGCTGAGGAGGAAGGTGAGAAGCCCTCACAGTGTGCCCCATCGGCCAGGGCATGGGTGGGCTGAGATGGAGGCTGGGGCTGGGTGGGCACAGGCTCTGGTTCCTCTGAGAGGTCTCTGGCCCTTTAAATCGGCAAATGCAGGCCAACCAGGGCAGCTGTGTCTGGAAATGACTGTGGTCAGGGTTGAAGGCAGTGGGGAGCAGGCTAGCAGCCACTTTGATGTCATTCTGAGGTTGGGTTTCTCAGGGTTCGAGGGATGGTCCCTGGGGAGACGGTGGGATGAAGCTGGGTTAAGAGTGAGGTAGGGCAGGGCCAGGGACAACCCCAAGGCCCCACAGGTCAGGGAGGCATGGGACTCAGCAACTCAGTCCTCTTTTCTGTCTCGGGCCAGCTTGGGCTATTGAGCTAAGGACACACCTACCTCCCTGCCTCAGTTTCCATGAACAGAACCAGCAAGGTGTCCTTTCCTTGGGGCTCTATACAGACCCCTGGGATACGGAGGGGCCCATATTATGGTGCCAAGCAACAGATTGTCACTGTTGGGGCTGGCCCTGGGCATCAAGAGTAGATTCTAGAAATGGTTTCACTGTGACCATAATGTCTATGTGCCTCAGAGTCCTCATCTATAAAATGGAGATACCCCCAAGGGACTGCTGTAAGGATTGCCTCACTTCTTAGTCTCCCCTCTTTCCTTCCCCCAGAGCAGCCCAGAGGTTTGACAACCACCCATCCCAATATCACTGCCCCAAAGATAGAGCAAATATTTTGTGGTACTGGGATCCCAGACCCAGGCCCTAGATGATCCCAGCAGAACCTCTCTGTGTGTTTCTCTGCTCAGGGGAGGCAGTGCCCCTTTGATCTTCCCTCCTGGCTGGGATCCTCCACACCAGGAAACCTTCCTTAATCCACCCCCCTCCCACGCCCAGCTACTCATGATTCCTATTTGCCTGTATTGTGTACCATAATTCTATATATTTATTGTTTCTTTCTTTGTGTATTTACTTATTTATTATGAGACAAGGTCTTGCTATATGGCCCTAGCTAGCCTGGAACTCACTATGTAGACCAAGCTGGTCTCCAATTCAGAGATCTGCTTGCTCTGCCTCCTAAGTTCTCGGATTAAAATCGTGTGCCACAGCACCCAGACCTATCATTTCTTGAAGATAGGGACAGTAGGCCCTCAGAGCAGGATGTTAAATGATACAAGGGAGGGTTGAACTGCCCTGACTCAGGCCGCCTGGGGCTGTCCCCTTCCTTCCCCTGCCTGAGCTGACACAGCCTTCCCTCCTAGCACTCACACTATGTCTGGAATCGCACGGAACTGCTGTCGCTTGACCCTTCCACCGTGGACTACCTCTTGGGTAAGTAAAGCCCTATGACTGTGGCTGTAGGAGGTCAGCCCCCAGTTGTAGGACCTCTCCAGGCTACAAGAGGGCAGGGAGGCAGTTCTGATTTGTGAAGTTAGGCTGCTCAGAGGGATGAGCCCCAGTGGGCACATAGAAACCCAAGCTCAGAGAAAGGAGGGCATGTAACACTGCCAGGGCAGAGCCAGCCAGATGGCCTCTGCCGGTCCTAAAGGTGGGAGCCAGTGAGGGACAGGGGCTGCTGGGCGCAAAGGCTAGCTTGCCAGTGGGAAGGCCAGAGGGGCAAACTGCAGGAAACTGATGGCTCATGCCCTCCTGGAGGCCAGCTCCTGCTCCAGTGCAAGCTTCTCAGGGATGGTGTGGGGGTGGTGCTGGGCTCACTGGAGCTGTTGTTTAGAATGGCTCACTTTCCTTATGTCACATGGGAATAGACCAGCACAGTGAACGGAAGGGCCAATGACCCTCAACCTTTTGCTTCACTGTCACCATGCCCTCAGACCTGACACTGCACACGTTACCCCCAGTGAGCCCAAAACAGAGGTCACTGCTTCAGGACCCTGGTGCAGTGTCCTTGTGGATTTGAGTCTCAGATCTGCCCTTTCCTGGCTGAAAACAGCAAGCTTTCAGGTTCTTGGGTGCTTCCATCTCCTCCTCTATGAGCTGGGCTACAGGCCCCTGTGCCCCTGATGATCAAGCTGTAAGAATGATGGAAACTGTGGGCCCAGTTTTGGACCCACAGAATCACCCAGATAAGGTTCCTGCCTCTTGCACTTGCCTCAAGTTGGGTGCAGGGATCCTATGTCCTCTGTGACACCCCAGGTTCCTCGGGATCCTCCTGGCAGGTTCAGGGATCTGGGCACCCCCAGTCTTTCTGTGTCTGCAGGTCTCTTTGAGCCTGGGGACATGCAGTATGAGTTGAACAGAAACAACCTGACAGACCCTTCGCTCTCTGAGATGGTGGAAGTGGCCCTCAGGATCCTGAAGAAGAACCCCAAAGGCTTCTTCTTGCTGGTGGAAGGTAGGGCCCAGTGGTGAGAAACCTTCCAGAAACGTGACCATTGGGCTGCGGGTGGGGTAGTACAGGTTTCAAAGAAAATTGCCAGTTTGGGGTGGAAGAGAGAACTCCCCCATAGGGGAGGACATTGTGGAAGCTCCTAGCAAAGTCTGCTGGCAACTGAAATGTCTGGAGACTGCTTGTCCAGCAGGCTAGTCTGGGAGGGCTTCCTGGCAGAAGAAGAAGGTGCTTTCCTCTGGAAGGCTTTCTCTGTGACCTGGCCATGGAGGGGCATCCAGCCTCTCAGCTTCACTCCTGGAAAGTCAGTTCCACCTGCACAGTGGCTGTCAGAGGCCAGGGAGTGACACTTAGGATCTCGTCCTTACACTGCCACCCACTGGCTGTGTGATCTTCACTACTTGGTTCTATAAAATGAGGCCAAAATTGCCCCCTGTCCTAGAAGGGTGACTCGGTTCCCTGGTGCTCAGAGATATAAAGTAAAGAATATGGGGCTGGAAAGATGGCTCAGTGGTTAAGATGGCTCAGTACTGGCTGCTCTTACAGAGGACCTGGGTTCAATTCCCAACACCCACACAGCAGCCAACAACTGTCCTTAACTCCAGTTCCAGGGATCCAACACCCTCTTCTGACCCCCTTGGACGTTGTACAATATGGGTGCACCTATATGCATGCAGGCAATACACTCATACACATAAAATAAAAATAAGAAATAAAATATTTAAAAAATAATAATAAAATAGTTTTAAAAAAGCACACAATAAGGATGGGTCATAGGGGGAGATGCTTCAGTGAAATGCCTGCTATACAAGCCTGAGGACCTGAGTTCAGATTCCCCAGAACCCACGTAAAAAAGTCAGGAAGGGCAGCAAGAACCTGTAACCCTAGCACTAAAGGGGTAGAGACAGGTGGATCCCTGAAACACATTGGCCAGTCAGCCAAACAGAACTTACTAAGCTTCAGGTTGAGTGAGAGACCCCATCTCAAAAAATAGAGGTGGAGAAGCTGAAGAGATGCCTCAGTGGTTAAAGCATTTGCTGCTCTTGTACAAGATATGAGCTCAGTTCCCAGCACCTGCATCAGGCAGTTCACAACTGCCTATAACTCCAGCTCCAGGAAATCCGAAGCATCTGCCTCCACGGGCACCTGCATGCATGTGTCATGCTCACACACTGGCATATTTGAATTATATACATAATTCAAAATGTTTTAAAACATTATAAAAATAAATTCATGGGGCTGGAGAGATGGCTCAGCGGTTAAGAACACTGGTTGTTCTTGCAGAAGACCCGTTCAAATCCCAGCACCCACATGGTAGCTAACAACTGTCTGTAACTCCAGTTCCAGGGGATCTGATGGCCTCTTATGTCCTCGCAGGTATTACATGACACAGGTGCACTTACCTATATGCAGGCAATACACTCATACACATAAAATAAAAAAATAATAAAATATTTTAAAAAAATAAATTCATAAAGATGGAGGGTAATTGAAAAAAAATACCCACCATCACCCTCTGGTTCCACACATGCATGTGCACACCCATACTAAAAAAGACCTACACACACACACACACACACACACACACACACATACGTACAAGCACACACGCACACACATATACATATACAAGCATACATACACACAAGCATAAGCCTCCAGTGTTTCTATTATTAACATCGTAATTACACTACAGCCAACACAACAGTAGGAAGTGATAGAGGAAGTGTTAGGGTTTCCGGAATCTTCCAGAGTCCGGACAGCCCTTGCCCTCTGGTCCCTTGAGTTGGCCTGCTGAGGTCTGCGTGTACTCATCCCATGCAGACACACAGGCTTGTCTGCACACACTCTCCCCTTACACGAATACGTGCTCGGGTCCTTCCACCTTCCAGAGGCCAATGGCTGTCAGCCCGGCTCAGCTGCCTTCTTGCCAAGGCCTGGGGCTCCCACCAGCATAGCGGTCTCGGCCTGGCCCCAAACAGGCCTCTGATGCTGAGAAAGTGCCAGGAACCAGTGGTGGAGAGCACGGGTCCCCTGGGAATGGTCCTCTTTGTGAGCAGGGCCAGGCCAGCCTGCCAGGCCAGCTGCTTCCAGAGCCACAACAAAGGGAGGGCCAGCCTTCCCTGCCCCATCAGCTGGCCAGGCCAGCAATGAGGCTGAAGCTGGTGGGAGGTAAGGAGCATGTCCTGGCACCCAGCCTCAAGACCCTTGAAATTGGGAGCGGCCACCAGGGGCAGACAAAGGGAGGAGGTCCCTAAGGCCACATGTCCTCTACCATTAGACCCCTGCATATACCCCCAGGACTAGAATCAAAGGACTGAAGCATGCATTGGCCTCTCTGGAAGACCACCACATCACTGCCCAGGCCCCAGGGGCTTGTGCCACCATGAGGATCCAGAGAATCCCCATGCTTTCTGCTTACTATGTTCAAGGAGGAGACGGAAAACTAGGTGCCTTGGAAGGAGTTAGAACTGAGTTCTGTCCCCAGCGTGCACGACCACACACACACACACACACACACACACACACACACACATGCCCTCCACACTGCCTCAGTTGCTCCATCTATACACAGGGATGATGGCACCTTCCCTGCCTGGAGTTGTTGTGAAGGCAAATGAGATGCCACTTGGTCATGCCTGGCACACAGTAAGGACTTGGGCATTTCCTCCTTCCCTTCCCTGAAGCCTCTGGCCACTCCTCAGGCAGCTGAGAACACAGTGCTGGGAGTAGAGGGGTAGGGGAAAGAGCCAGGCTCTGAAGGTCCTGAAGCTCTTCCTTCTCACAATGGCTTTCCCCGTACGGGCCATGCTCAGGCCACTTGTCTGTGTGAGATGTCTAAGGTGGATCTGACCCAGGTTAATCTGGTGACAGTGTCCTGGGGCTTGTGAGTGCCTGGTTCCCTCCCCTGCCACCTCACATGAGGTCTTTCCCTTGGTGTCCCAAGGAGGCAGGATTGACCATGGACACCATGAGGGCAAGGCCAAGCAGGCACTGCACGAGGCAGTGGAGATGGATCAGGCCATCGGACGGGCAGGGGCCATGACCTCCCTGAAAGACACGCTGACTGTGGTCACTGCAGATCATTCCCATGTCTTCACCTTTGGTGGATACACCCCCCGAGGCAACTCAATCTTTGGTAAGTGGGCCTCTCCTCCGGGTGGAAGAGCCATCAAGGCAGCGTGTGGTGGGATCCTGTGAAAACTGAGAAGAGAGAATGAGGTACTGGTGAGGGGTGGGAGAATAGAGAGCTGAGCAGCTGGGTGATGGATGAGTGAGTAGACCATGGCAGCATGGAGAATGGACAGAATGGATGAGACGATGGGTAGATGCATGGGACAAGAAGAGGAGATGGATGTGTGCATGCATACATACATGGATGCGTGGGTGGATGGTGGATGGGTGAGTGAGTGGTTCAATGAATGGGTAAGTGGGTGGACAGATGGGGGATAGATGAGTGGGTGGATGGGTTGGATGAAAGAGTGGAGGGATAGGTAGTTAGATGGATGAATGGGTAGATGGATGAATTGATAGGTGGGTGGATAGATGGGTGGGTGGATGGATGGATGTATGGATGGATGGATGGATTGGTGGATAAGTAGATGGATGGGTGGGTATATGGGTGGATGGATAGATGGATGGGTGGGTGGATGGGTGGATAGTGGATGGATACATACATGAATTAGTTGACAGATTGAAAGGGTACAGGCACAGAGAAAATCTCATGATAGCTGGTTGGAAGTGCATGGGATTTGGAAGATGGCTTCATGGAGGTGGTTTGGGCCCCCAGAGGAAGATCACAGGGACTACCAAGCCATAGACCTGAGGAGCCTAATGAAGGGTCTTGTGACTGAGCTTCCATGCTCCATTGTGATCCTGGGCCCCCTTCTCTGAACAGGTTTGGCTCCCATGGTAAGTGACACCGACAAGAAGCCCTTCACATCCATCCTATATGGCAACGGGCCAGGCTACAAGGTCGTAGATGGCGAGAGAGAGAACGTCTCCATGGTGGACTATGGTAAGACACCCCCCAAGGCCAGGGCTGGGAGGGGACAGGGTATTCCTTGGGGAGGGGTCGGTATAATCATGGTGGAGGTCCTGAAATAGCCTAGACTTTAGTCAGAACCTCAGTTTGGGTCCTCAGATTTAACAACTCTGATTTTGGGCATCTTTTGCAGCTTCAGTTTCCTCTATGGGTCTGTGGGCCTAGCTCAGTGTTTGGTCTATGTAGGTACTTGATGTGGTTTACTGGATGTGTAATATTCCAGTCTTCCTAATTAACTCACCCAATTCAATATTATTCATTGTTCACTTGCTCTGGAAACTCCCAGTGGCCCCTGGGAGCCCAGTGGTATAGCCAGCAGCAAGAAGACCCTCTTCACTTGACTCTTCCTTACTAAACAGCCTAGATGAGGTTTGTTTTCTCTGTGAGAGGCTGAGTGTACTGTCTTCTGAATCAGGCAGACTTGGGTTTGAATCTAGTGGCCTCTGGTAAATGCCTCTCTTGGATGCTGAGCCCTGGTTTCCTCTTCTGTGAAAGGAGGTGCTCATGCCAGCCTGGGGGTGAAGGAGGGAGGTGCTGGTCTCCCAGTACTGTGGTCCAGAAAGGCACTCAATAGTTGGTTTTGGCCTACAGCTCACAACAACTATCAAGCCCAGTCTGCTGTGCCCCTGCGCCATGAGACCCACGGTGGGGAGGACGTGGCAGTCTTCGCTAAGGGCCCCATGGCACATTTGCTTCATGGTGTTCACGAGCAGAATTACATCCCCCACGTGATGGCATATGCCTCCTGCGTCGGAGCCAACCTTGACCACTGTGCCTTGGCCAGCTCTGCAGGCAGCCCCACCCTGGGGCCCCTGCTGCTCCCCCTGGCCCTGCTCCCCCTAAGCACCTTGTTTTGAGGGTCCAGGGTGCAGCTCCCACGAGCCTAGGATGGATGGCCAGCTTCCCTCCTGATGTGGCCCACCACTGGGCAGCCCACGCTCAAGGCAGAGGGCCAGGCCTTCTGCAGCCTCTGTGGCCACCAGCAGGGAGCCCCGGAACAAAAGTCAGCTGCCAGCCTCGCTCCCCTCCGGAATCTTCCATGGGCCAGAAGACTCCTGGCTTGGCCTTTGCTCCCTACACACTGTCCTTTGGCCAGCAGGGCAGGCTTTTCTCTTGGGTAGGCAGAACACAGAACTTCTCAAAGCATCTTATTTTTCTACCAAATACACTTCTCCAGACCCAGAACCTGCAACCTTCCTGGAACATTCCATATCTGACCTTCCTTCTCCCTACCTCTTCCCTTTGGAACACTGGGCCCCATGGTCATGGCCAGTCCCTAAGCCCAGCCTTCCCTTGAGAAGAGATCAGGTCTGCTCAGGATGGAGCTCCCAGGAAGCCACCCCTGAGGGTTGGCTGTCCACCCAGGGCGGCCAGACCGGGAAGAGCAGCCTAGCCTGACAGGATGCACACTCCACACCCAACTCCAGAGACACATGCCAGCTCCTCACTGAAGCAACTCTCCTGTTTGGAATGGCAAAAAAAAGGAAAATTTTTTTAAATTTCTCTTTTTGGTGTTGGTTAAAAGGGAACACAAAACATTTAAATAAAACTTTCCAAATATTTCTGAGGACAGAGCCGAGTATTTGTGGTCACTGGGAAAGAGACTCAAGCTCATTGCTTGGGGAAGAATTGGATTTGGGTCTGGGGGGTGTGGGCAGAAGTTGTGGGGCAGGGATATTAGGGCTCCCACCAACAGGGATTTTCACCACTCATGACTAGGATGATGTGGACCCCTAGCTTTGTGTCCCTGGGTGTGACAGCAGGAAACAACTCACTTGCAGGTTGCTGTGAGGCTTGGAAAAGAGAGCCCTATGGGACTGGAGAAATGGCTCAGTGGTTTAAGAGCCCTGGTTGTGCTTGCAGAGGACCCAGGTTCAGTTCCCAGCATCCCACATGGCAGCTAACAACCATCTGTAACTCTAGTTCCAGGGGATCAATGCCCTCTTCTGGTCTCTGCAGGCACTGCACACGTGGCATGCATACATGCAGACAAAACACTCACATATGTAAAAATACAAATAAAATTTTTAAATCAAAAATAAAATAAAAATAAATATTTTTTTAAAAAGGAAAAAAAAAAAAAAAAACCCTCTGCATTAAACCCACGGTATGACACTCACAAATGCAGGGCGTACCCTGGCCCAACACAGCTGCTCACTCACTGCCTTTGTCCACAAGTCCTGAATGTATCAGGTGCTGTAGAAGGTCTCTATAACTGTATGGCAGGGACTGATGAGCTGGCTGGCTCGGTGGTTTAGGCACTTGCCACACAAGCTTGATAATCCGAGTTTGATTCCCAGAACCCACACAAAGGTGGAAGAAGAGAACTAACTCCACAAAATTGTCCTCTGATCTACACACACACACACACACACACACACACACACCATGCACACACAAACACAGTAACGATGATAATAATACAGACTTTCATGGTGAAAGGGGTGGATATGAGCCTTCCCTTGTGGAGCTAGTTTCTACTAGCCAACTGACTTTAGACGGGACAGCTCCTGACATTGGGGTTCACAGAGCCCCCTGAGTTTGTTCTACTTGTCTTGAATGAGGATACCCACAGCGTGGGAGGCATATGATTGTCAAGGTCCCCCAAGTTGCTGACAGGGATTTGTCTCCAGATTTTTCCGATGCCAAAGTTCCTGTACTTAATGACATCTTTTATGTGTTTATATGTTTCCAAATTCCTGTCTACCTGGCCTCAGCCAGTCCTAGTGACTCACAATCTACACCAGCTAAATAGGAACCCAGAAGGGAAACAGCATCTGAAGAAGTGGACGTCCTTCCAGACTGAAAAGGAAATGGAGTAGATTTCTCTCTGAACTTCCGAGCAAAAAGGGAAGCACAGCCAGGCTGATGCTGGGCTGGAATGGGGAAATGACATACAGATGCTCTGTCCCGAACTGCTGCCTCTTCTAACTGCCTATCACCGTGCTTTGAGGTGCAGGGCTTTGCCAGCTCTCTGAACTATCATTGCCTAAGCAGTTACTTACAACCCCATTAGAAGAAGTTAATTTTTAAACATTTCCCAGAACTGCCTGTACAGTCCACCAGTGTTAACAGCTATGATCATTACTTGGGACTGGAGACTGAGAATCATGCATTGTGTCTCAGGTTGAGTCTCCCCAGAGGCAGGCCTGAGACAAGGAGCTGGGCATGAGTTATTTATAAGAGGGACCCCAAAAGCACCAGTTGGGGGATAAAGAAGAAAGGAAAAGAGACTGAGGATGGGTGTGTGACTGGGCAGCTACCATGGTAAGCAATAGGGTCCATCCCCTGGAGACTTTGAGGGACAGTACAGGAGGCACGCTTCAGAGTCACCCCTCGGGGGGAACGAGGAAGTGAGATATTTATTCTCCACCTCTCCTCCTTTGCTGGCTAAGGACTGCTAGGGAGAAATAACTGAGTTTCTAGCTTGCTTCTTGAAGGGCTGAGGGGATGCCCTAGACCTGTCCTGATGCTTAGAGGACACAGACACATCTGAGCCTTGGGACGTGCTGCTAGGAGGAAGCATAGGCTGAGTAAGAGCCCTGTAGACTTGGGGGAAGGTCTTGCACTCCTGACATCCCTGCCCAGCACATGGTGAGCAGAGGACCACACACACACACACACACACACACACACACACACACACCCTTGGGAACATGAAACTCTTCCTGTATGGAGCGATGTTAAAGATACTCAGGCACTTATTTCTCCACAGGGCTGGGCACTGGCTCTCATACATCCCAGAGTCACCCTGTCTGTTGATCACATAGATTCTGAGTCCCAATCTGAGCCAGGGATCCAGGCAATGGTCTCAACTCAGCCCCCAGCACCCACAACCATGCCAGTCGGCACCCAGTGGCCCACAAGTTCCCTTGTACTTGGGTTTCTCTGGGAAGGACAAAGGCTGGCAGATACTCTTCTGTGTATAACATCAGCCCTGGCTTCTGTTAGAGGTAAATCCAATATCAGGACATGGTGGGACTCTATTTCCATGTCAACGGGGGACCCTAACTGGGAGGCAATGACCCAGGCTCTTCCTACCTGTGGCTATGCCACCTCCTCTAAGTGCTGGGTGTTTTTTCTATCTGGTCAGTGCCTCTGTAGCAGAACCAGCCCTTTACTTTGTAATGTGGGCATTCATGGCCCCACTCTGAGTCCACTGGTAGGAACTGGTCATGAACCCACCTAGGTACAAAGGAGGTTGAGAAATGTAGTTTTTGGTGATGGCACTTGCTCCTCACCAACAATTCAGTAGGTACTCATCCTTGGCATGACTGATACTGAGGATCATATGACTGTGTATGCTGTATATGCATATCTGGCTTCTTCTCACTAGATTTGGGAGAGGACAAAACTGCCCCCTGTACCATCTGAAGGAGGAATGGACAGCTTGGGAGACAGCTCCAGTGATATTCAGGATACCCTCCTATACTCACACATCCCCACACATCTCCGGTATTTTAAAACTCCAGGGTATTTCTGGAAGGCTTGGATCTCTGACTTCTTTGGAAAGCCAAAGGAGGACCCTGTCCCAGGTATAGCTGCCAACTGGAGCTGAAGGATGGCTATCCATCATGCAGTCTGGCTGTCTGCCTTGCATAGTACCTGACATTCCTTGTATCCTGCTGTTACAGGCCCCTTAGGATGTAATTAACCTGTCTTGTCACTATGAAGGCTGAGCATACGCCCCCTGCTCACAAATGCCACATCCTGTATGGTTCCTGGATGACAGAACAGAGGACAAGTCAGCTGTCCTCAGGTTATATCTCAGACATCACTGCAGTGTGGGGACACAAGGAGCTTGGGGGGCAGGAAGGAGATACGTAACTAGCTAAGGGTTCAAGGTAGTGGGCACAGGGACATAAAAGACAGCTTGTGAGCTGAGACCTGATGTGAGGAGGGTTTGTGGCATGAGGTCCAGGGAGAGTTCATAAGGCAGCATTGTGGAAAGCAATGAGCTGGGAGAGATGGGCAGGAGAGCCTCGGGTACCATTCCAAGAAGCCTGCGAGTTGTCCATGGAGGCTCTTGGGAGCCAGGAAAGGATCTGGAGCTGAAGAATGAACATCAATGCTGAAAGATCCTCTTGGCAGCCAGTTCTTGGACCTTTCTATAAGAAGAGATAACTGGGCACCAAGGCTGCTACATAAGGTGGGGACTAGCCCCAGACATGACCCCCAGCAACTCAGCTCCTGATTGTTGAGAAGGAGGCTGCGCCAGTGTGTGAATGCACAGGCTGCCAGCACACCAAATGCCTTGAGATCAAGAGCAATAAGACACCTACTATGTGCCATACACCCTACTAAGTTGCCAGATGTGGAAGAGAGTTGTCGTCTTGAGAACACACTTGCACATTGCCCCAACCATCCTGTGAGGTGGATCATATCACCCCTCTTACAGAGGTTGAACAGGGCATAGCAACCTACTCTAGGCCCCATGGCTTCTAATCTCTCCAAGGACAAGGGCCCCGGGCTTGTGGGCCCCATGGGGGTAGTGAGGGTGAGTGCCCAGACAGCTGCATTTACAATTAACCCTTGGGCTCAACTGGAGACCTTCCAAGGTAATGCCCCTGGGAAGGAGATTAAGCTCTCAGGGTGCCAGGCCCTTTCCCAGCTCCTCAGGGTTTAAAGAAAGGCCAAGTCAGACTAGGATCAGTAGCTGAATGTGGCAACAGCTGGCCAGTGCCACCTCCCTCTTGCCTATAGGAACCCAGACTTGGGCTCCCTACAGTGACACACATAAATGTGCTCACAAATAGTCCCAACCCCAATCTCAGCCATTTCCAATGTCCCTTGTGTCCCAGGCACTGTCCCCCAAGTGTCCCTTGGCATGCATTGGTTTTTCTCCCCAACTACCCCCAGGGGATTGGGGTTGTCTCCATTCTACAGATGAATCAACAGGAGCAGAGAAAAGGTCGCAACATAGCAGAAACCTCAACACGAGTGAGGGTTAGAGCCAGGGCAGCTCAGAGCAAGGTGAGTTTTTGTATCGTTCTCTTATTCATCATTACTGTCTCTGTGTGTGTATGTGAATGAGGATGTTGGTAGGCCTGTGAAGCCAAAGGACAGCTGCAGGGGTTGGCTCTCTCCTGCTGTGGGATAGAACTCAGGTCATCAGGAAGGTAGGACACTGGCACAGGCCACACTTTACAGATGAGAAAAAGTCACTGGCTGCTCTTCCAGAAGACCTGGGTTCTGTTCCCAGCACCCACATGGCAATTAACAACCATCCTTAACGCCAGTTCCAAGGGATCTGATGCCCTCTTCTGGCCTCTGTGGGCATCGCACACTCATGATACGTTTATATACGTGCAAGTAAAACACTCATATGAATAAAGTGAAAATAAGTAAATCTTTTAAAAAGAAAACAAAGTCTGAGGGCACTACTATAGCTGGTGGTCAGAAAAGGCCTATCTGCGGAAGTGACATTTGAGAGAAACCCAGCTAGGAACGTAGTAGCCTTGCAGAAAGCTATAGGACAGTTCACTGGAAGCAAGGACAAAGCCAAGGAGGAACTGGATGTGCCTAAGGGGCAGAGAGAGGATGGAGTGCTGGAGCCAGTGGTAGGGCAGTAG